CCCCCCCACCACACACACCCAGCCTTCTGCCCTGCACCCCCGCAGCCCCCATTCCTCTGCCCTGACCTCTGAACCCCCCCAAAACACCCAGGCTTCTGCCCGGCACCCCCCACACACCCTCAGCCCTGACCCCTGAACCCCCACACACACCCAGACCTCTGCCCTGACCCCTGAACCCCCCCACCAGGTCTGGGGTCCCAGCTGCCAGCCCCTTGCCAGCTGGCATCCCAGCTGCAGGCCCCGCTCAGCCCGCTGCTGGCCTAGGTGAACAGAACCCCAGGCTGGCAGCGAGCTGAGCAGGCTGGTGGCATAAGATCAGCATTTTAATTTAATTTTAAATGAAGCTTCTTAAACATTTTGAAATCCTTGTTTACTTTACATACAACAATAGTTTAGTTATACAATATAGACTTAGAGAGAGAGACCTTCTAAAAAAACGTTAAAATGTATTACCGGCACGCGAAACCTTAAATTAAAGTGAATAAATGAAGACTTGGCACACCACTTCTGAAAGGTTGCCTACCCCTGACTTACATTATCTTTTGATAAAGATCATTTAAAGCATACTGCTCTACTTGACATTAGTGAAGTAATTTAGAACACAAGTGAGATTACAAACATACCTCACGAATCTTCTCAATAGCTGATGTAAAAATATAAGCTATAACAATCCATTCTTGAACTGATGGTATTTCTTCCATTTTTACAAGGACTACAAATGTGTAAAGCATCAGAAATCCTAAGTATGCCAACTAAAAAAAAAAAGCAAGTAAGCAAAAAAGTTAATTTTATATAGTTACACATCTTATTTTCAAGCGTGTGTGGATTATTTTTGATAATCTAATCGGATATAGCGTGCACCAAAACAGTAAGTAGGATAGCAGCACTTGCTTACAGGGACAAAGGTAGTAAATGCCAATAAATGGGAAAAATATTGTATATTGGCTTTATATATCCCTCAAGAGCGAAAGAAAAAAAAGTAACAATCTACAATAATTTAGGATGTTAAATACAAATTTGTGTAAATTATCTAAGATGAAATACACACAACTTCGTCTAAATATGTTAGACTAATGAACAATTACGTAAGGTCTGCTAAACTGGATGAGGCAAAATAATACACCAAGATAAAAGAAATCTGAGTGCTAAGTATCCATTCCAAGTTACCTTGCAGGAGAACAACATATCAGGACAAATAGACCGAAGTGCAAGTATGATATATTTTGGACACTGTGCATGCACTAGCCAGATTCTAAGACTCCAGTGATTCTCATTTCTTAGGAAGATAGTTTTAGAAGGACAGGAGCAGTTCAACTCTGGTGTTATTTATAACAACTGTATGCTGGCCAAAGAATCAGCCATAAATATGGACTATTTTTGAAAAGAGTTCTTGAGCACAGGTCATTTTACACAGCTTTTCTTCAAAAACTCACCGTATTGAACCAGAACTTCACAATTGGCGCATGATAGAATGCATAAAACTTTCGTGTAATTGGAAGTCGCTTAGGTTTTGTTGGCATCTCCATGTCATGTTTTCCCTCAGTACTGTCCAAGACCCTTACTTCTTTAAATACTTCCTAACATAAAAAGGATAGGTTATGAATTTATGTATAGAAATACTTCTTTGTTCTTTGGGTTTTTGTTTGTTTGTTTTATGTTACCATGGGTATCTCTTCTGCTGTATTCTGGAAGTTGTTTTCACTGTCTTCCATTGTCATCTGGTGTGCATCTTGAGACTGTGGAATATGGGACATTTCTGCCTTGGTTTTATATTCCAGCATTAGTATGGCAGGGGGTAGTAAGATGCTCAGTATCACCTACAAGAATTGAAGATGAGAAATTTTAAAAGTCTACTTCCACTTAACGTCAGCATATTAAAGTGTCAGACATATTGGTACAGACTATCCCCTGTAAAAATATAATTTTATAATCCAAATTGTCCTGGTCAGGTAGTTAGTAGAAAAAAAATGGGGGTGGAGAGAGAAGATTTTTTGTTATTTATACATGTAACTTACAGGTCAAGTGTGAGCATATAAAGAATGTTTCATGAAATTCTTGGGGGGAAAAAAAAATCAGTGGGTTCCAAAACTAAACATCACTGGACAGAATGTATTCCAAGATTAAATAACGGAGAGCTACAGCTTAACTGAATTCATAGGTCATTTCTTCTTCCCCTAATTTTGGCAAGAACATGGTTGTGGTCTTAGAGACAGGGCATGTTTAACTATACATGCGTCCGTTTTTCTAGTCATGGTAGAAAAATCATGAAGTCTGAAACATGTATAAAAAGTACTAGATCAAATAGCTGTTTATTGAAGTTAGACCATTGCAAGGCAAGAGAGGTCAACAGATAAGTTGGCATGTAAGATTTTAGTAGGTCACATAGTAGATTATGCTTGCAAAAGTTTTGTATGAAAGTTGCACTTTTTAGGTGATTTTCCCTTTGTTACTCCAAATAATGGAGTAAATTTTCAGTGTGATGTCCATAATAGATATGCACTCTTGCAATTGTCAATTAGAACTGCATGACTTATTTTAGTGCACTGTTCTGAAAACTTACACGAACTGATCCTACAGATTTGTGTTTCACTGTATGCCCTCCATTTTTGTTCATCTTGGGCTTCCGAAATGAAAGCAAAAGCTTATTTCTACATCAAGTTTTACTTACTGCCTGTAGAAGGCAGAAGCATATGAAATTGTATTCTTACAGTGGATTTTCTGTTAATTTTTTTCACCACTATAATTTTTAGTAGTGGATTAGTATTCACAGTAATCTACATATGCCTCTGATTAAGGGCTACTTGCCTGTTTTCTGCCTTCTACATTTCTGTACCTTATTTAAAAAGATAATAGAGCATCAAAAGAAGAGTTTATAATACGTCCAGACTTGATTAAGTTAAAAAAGTTACAGAAGAACAGTTTCACAACATTTATTAAGGTAAATAAGGGTTACAGTGATACAAGTTTTATAGGAATAGTACTTTGTATACAACATGCTTTTCTTCCACTTCAGCATAAACACAATAAATAAGAATGGCCAGCAGGATTAACACTAATGGTGAATTGTAAGGATGTTTACCTTGTACCATGAATTCTTCCTCATGTTTAATCTTCCCATCCACATATCAGACAACAACATCTGTGTACAAGTATGAGCTACGAATGGGCGGAGTCTTGAAGACACTGCTAGCTTAAGACAGGTTGAATTACTCCAGTTTTTCAGCTCATACATTAATAACTTCATAGCCATGGTTTCATCTTGTCGGAAGGACTGTTCTAGTAGTTCAACTGCGAGTTGTCCAAACTCACTAGAAAAAGGGGAAAAAAACAAAAATATGGACTTACCAAGTTTAGGTTCTAGAGAGTTTCTTCTTTCATACACAATATCAGGGATTTTGAGGGGAGTTCCCTGCTTCCACTGCAACAACTGGGATATGTGATGGAGTGTTCAATTCACACCATCCTGGAAGTGGTTAATGAGGCTAAGAGGCCAATTAACCAGTTAGGCCACCTAATTCCCCTCAGATGTGGCCTAAATAATTCCTAAATAAATAGCACCCAGCTGAGAAGAAACTAGCAGGTACAATAAAGACAAGAAGTTGGCAGCAGAAAAGGGGGTGCAGGGAGATAATCTGCAGTCACTCCTTGGGAGCAGGGAGTTGTAGTCGAGGCTATTGAGTTCAGTCATCTGCAGTTACTCCCTGGGAAGAGGGAGTTTGAGCTGGGACATCTAGAGAGAGGAGGAGCCAGAAGCTGTAGGAAGGAGTCCAGGGAAAGACAATAGGATCTGAGGGAAAGCAGACCACAGTAGCCAGGCATAGGGTCCCTGGACTGGAACCCAGACTAGTGGAAAGGCCTACGTTCCCCTACCAGCCACCGGGGGAAGTGGTACCATCAGGGCAATGCACAAGAAGATTGCCTTAGACCACTGGTATGGAAAGTCTTAGAGATCCCAGAAGGGGAAGACTTTAATGACCTGGCTGGAAAGCCAAGCCACAAAGACACAGTACCCTGAGTCACAGTGAGCGAGACAGATGGCAGGGCATACAGAAGGGGGCATCAGACCTGAGTGGAGCTAATCTCCATTTGGAGCCACAAGGAGGAGCCCCTAGAGGTGAATAGAGCACCCAGTGTCATGGTTATCCCTGGATCAAGTGACTATATCCCATATGATCAAATTCTTGTGAGCGCAAGAGGATGGGCTATACTGGGCATTGTTGGAATTTCAATCTGCCCTGTCATCTGATAGGTGTGCTTACATTATCTAATGCACACAAATTCACACAGTACATATGGCTTTCCTTAAAATGTATGAAGACTACATATGTAATACAATGAATTTAGGGTAAAAACATCTCTGTCAAAGTGCTCAAAGTTCTTTTAATATAAACACCAGGTTTGCCAATAGCAATATAAGTAATGTGATGACATGCATCTTGTATTAGAATACAATCTAAACTTTGAGAAGATCCCTTTTCTTCAAGCATGCTAAGTAAACAAGTAGCAGAAAGGGGAAAGATGTTTTCTATTCATGTCTACTTTGCTAATGTTATAAGAAGGATTATAAGAAAGATTTAACAAAGATGAAAAGTAGATTACTTGGAGTACTGTTTCAGTTCTTCCGAGGTATCATCAACAAGGTCACTTTGTTTTGCCTCATGTGCCATTGAACGATACACCTTGCAGGCAACTAAGGCTTTAGCCATGGACTCTTCACCATGCTGCCAGAAGAAGAGGGCCATTTTCTGTCTTTTCATTAACACAGCCCAAAGTAAGAGTTCATTAAGAGGATAAGGAAAGCGTCTAGTTTCAGGATCATCAATGTCTACGACTTCATCTTTGGTTCTTTTCTTTTTTCCTTCTTCTGCACTTGTATCAATCTTTAAAAAACAAAGGAAAGGTTAGAAAATTACATTTTATCAGAACAAATTTAGATTTAAAGTATTGCTGACAGTGATAGAGCACCAATCACCATTTCTAGCTGTATGTTTTGCAAATTATTGGACAAAGTAGCAATGAACAAAAGGATTCCTAAAGTAGGCTAAAGAAACTCATTGATAACCGTTTTTTTTTTTTACTAACCTAGAGTCAAAACCTGCTCACTTTACTAATGCAAGTAGTTTCAATGGGTCATATTCATCTCTGTTGTAACTGAGTTCAGTGATGTTACACCAAGGATGAGTTTTTCGCTCTTAAATACCACTGTTTATAAATGATATTTAAAATAAAATAAATGCATTATTTATATAGCCCTTGCAATGTGCTAAGCGTTTTACAGAAAAGTATGAAGTCAGAGGATCTATTGACTATATTTTGCCACTAATTTCAGTGGGGCCAGGATTTCACCCTTGAAATCTTCTTACCTTGAAGAATTTACAATCAAAAAATGGTGAAATCCTATGACACAAACATACCTTTGGTTTGTAAGGCTGTGCAGTTTTGATGAAATGATTATGTCGCATTTTCTCTTTTTTATCTGCCCTGTTCCCAAAAGGCTCATGGCTTTTACGCAGTTGAGGAGTATTATTTGAAGGATTACGCCCAGACCTCTGGAAGTTAAAAAAAAAAGATGCTAAATGTTGTTTTTAAGTTTCTTAACACATTTGGATAAAAACACTATACAAGACAGTTATAAAAAGCCGAATGTATGACTATTTAACTGAAAAATTATGTAACTGAAAGGGTTATCATTGATTATAAATTTGATCTCCACATGGTAGCTAAAAGCCTTAAATAGTAAAATATTTTTCACATGAGTAATTCTTAATCACATAGCTAGTCCCATTGCCCTTAATGGATTCAGTCCTGTAACAAAGATTTACAAGACTGGGCTATAATTTTCACAAGCAGTCAAGTGTTGTTTGTGTTTAGACATTTTAAAAACATGTTTTCCTAAATGTAAAGCATTTTAAACAATTTCTCATTATCAAACTCCACATACCCGACTGTTCCCACCGAGACTGTTGTATATGACTCTAAAGCGTTTTCGCGTATAGGTGCATCTGTAGGTTCCTCCCATCAAATATTCAATAACAAGCCCTACATCAATCAGGTTGATTTTATATCCTGGAGGAAGGTTTCCCTAGAAATATAAAACTGCTCTTAGCTTTGCAGATACATTACAACATAGTTAAACTTATTTACAGCACTTTCACATGTATGTCAATTCTAGATAACGAGTGAGTTAAGCCTTCTATTCTAAAAACCTGTTTGAGGTTTAATATATTAAACTATTTCAAAGCAGAGTAGATTGTACTTTATCAGGCACAGTAATTTTCCATCTGGAGGCTGTATGTGTTTTTTTGGTTTTGTAACTCAAGTGCTATTAACCTATTTTCATTTAAACAGCCAAAAGAAGTTAAAACTGAAAACCTAAGGTTTTGTGGAGGACGAAACAGAAAATACTCTTTTTAAAAAGATCGAAGCTGTCTGACAATGAGACATGACTGATACAGCTGCAGACCTTGGAAGGACAGGAGCTTGCTAGAGTGGCTCTATTCTTTCTTGCCAAGAGGATCCAAACATCATTTGTTTGCTTCAATAAGCCTTTGCATTGCGAGTGTATCTCACATCTTTATCGTTGTCTAGAATCCATTTATATTCCTCATAATACTCAGCAATTTTCTTCCAAATTCTGGAACTTGAACACAAAGTGTTTGCCCATGGAAGTTCCATTAACATTTGTTTTGGGTTGGCTTTTTTGTGGGGGTGAGATTAGAAGAGAAGGTGTTGGGGATGAATATGGGTGATGGTATCTTTTCTGCCCCTCTATGGCTTGAAGTAGAAGATTACCCAAGTGCTGCTCTAGTCTCGCCTTCCCTCAGCAGGCTGTGAACTAGGGTGGAACAGGAATACATCATGTACTAATCTCCTATTCATGACCTTGCCCGACCAATTAGAAACCCTGTGTTAGGCCGTCCTGTTTCCCCCCTACATTGGTTTCACTGCCTACAGAGTCTTCAAAATTGCTAGAGATTATACATACAAGGGAAGGATAAGGGTAAGTAGGACTTGCCCCAAAAGATCAGTGCCTTTATCTTATTGTTATGCTAGTTCTCAAGATCCTCATTTACACTACATCAGGGATACCATGTGTGTTGGCCAGCTAGAGCCAAGTTATAATTCTAATGAGACTCCATGGATTAAGTTAAGGCTATGGAAGACCCTTACCTCACAATGAAACATCTATTAACTTCAGTGGGAATTCTGGGGGCAATAGATCAGAATTCTCATTGCGCATCCCATGAGTACCCAAGTCATAATGGGGAAACGAATGATCCAACAGTGGACTGCATTCAAAGTCCTTTCTAGGGCTGAATCTCTGTCATTTGTAAGCCAACTTTCCTATTGCAATTCCTCCTCCTCTCTCCCAATGTTTGAGACATTGGGCTAGCCCTGAGAGTATTGCAGTTCAACGTTGAGGGATTGTCAGCAGCCAAATGCAGCATTATCAGCTATTCATCCTGTCATCACATTGACATCGTCTGCCTACAAGAGATGCACATCGCCACTGCAAGATGCTTCAAGATAATCAGTTTTGACCTGCTGTGCCACACCCCACATACCAAACACACCCACACCATTTATATCCAGTGAAACACCGCAGATGCAGCTCCACTTATATCTACTATGATATGATTCAGGTGAGAGGTTTCCAAATCACAAATGTTTACAAGCCAGTGAATGTTAACTGGGACTAGCAAGTTCTGCCAAAACTAGCACACCCAGGTGTCTAAGTAGGTGACTTCAACAGCCACTATCCTGACTGGGGATACCTGGCATAGGGCGACCAGATGTCCCTATTTTATAGGGGCAGTCCCACTATTTGGGGCTTTTTCTTATATAGCTGCCTGTTACTCCTTGATTTTTCACACTTGCTGTCTGGTCACCCTAACCCAGCATCAGACACTAATGAAGACCAACTGGCAGTGTGGGCATCTAACAATGATCTTGCCCTCATCCATGATGCAAAGCAGTGAGGCACCTTCCACTCAGCCAGATGGTCTCATGAATATTTTCCTGATGTGAATTGGATGTCATCTGTGGATAGTCACTCCCAACCTGTATCATGTCTGGTCTTGGAAGACTTCCCACATAGCCAACACAAAGCTTCCGTTATCCACATAGTCACATCCACAACTCCCAATCATTAGATCCTTTAACAAATAGAAATAGAACTCCAGGAAGGCAGACTGGAAGAAGTACACAGATGCTCTAGTAAAAAGCGTCATCTCCATACCATCACACATCATCCTGGTCAATGAAGCTTTCGGTCGATTCCAAAAAGACATCTTCAAGCCGCCTGCATGTCCATAGTAGGTGGCCACCATCCAGTCTACATGCCATGCCTCGATGCTGAATGTGCTAAACTGCTCAGTCATTGTGAATCCTGTGGCGATCCAGATATTGCTGATCACCTAATCAGGTCACTGGATGCTGCCAGATGGGCACAACGGGAAGAGATGATTTGGAATTTAAACATCACTCAAACTGGAAACGCTGGAATTTGATTTGTCATCTTGGGACAGATCAGCAGCCAGTAGCCCTACACTGAACCACCTGTCACACCAAACCAAGCTGCCAGCCTTCTGGTGAATGTGTCAAACAACCCAAATAAGAAGCATGTCATACAACGAGTCCATGACAATTAGCATCAAGTCCATTGGAGTAACATCACTAAGCAACACAGAGTTGTCCACAGCCACAGAGACAGACACAATTCTGGTATTAGGAGCAGCACTGCTGCTGGCTATGACAACATATCGCCAGAGCTCCTAAACATGAGTACCAAAGTGCTTCATCAGCGGCTGGCACAGTTCTTCATACGAATGGTCAACGGAGAGTAACTTATGAAGACATGGTGAATGTCAAAGGTCACTGCTCTCCTGAAGCCGGGGAAAGACCCACAATGTTGCAAGATATTGAACTATATCCCTGGTGTCTGTGACATTCAGAGAGCTGGAGTGTCTTACTTTTCAGTGCAACTCTCCAGAAGTGGAGTCAATACTCAGCATTGAGCAAGCAGGCTTTCAGAAGGGGAAGAGCACCTGCAATCAAGTGCTAGTTTTGATAACATTCATTGAAAACAGTTTTAAGAAAAACCTGAAGATGGGAGTTGTATTTCTGCACCTGAAAGCAGTATATGACACAGTCTGGCACATGGTACTCTTAGTCAAATTGTCAAGAGTACTCCTAGCATGGGTAGTCAACATTGTTGACCTTCTAATCCGCGACAGATGTTCCCAGTGTATATGGAAGACAGAGAGAGTGCTTGGAAAAGACAAACCAACCGTCTACCCCAAGGTTCTGTGCTGGCCCCGACACTTTTCAACCTGTACACAAACAACCTTCTGTTTACCCAGTCCTGCAAGTTCACATACCAGACGGCATTTGCCTTAAGTGTCCAAGCCGTTGCCAGAACTTGAACACGCCCTAAACGCTGACTTGATTAAGATGGCCAAACACTGTAGTGGTTGGCATTTACAACCAACGACATAAGAACAGCTATGCTGGGTCAGACCAATGGTCGATCTAGCCCAGTATCTTGTCTTCAGACAGCGGCCAATGCCAGGTGCTTCAGAGGGAATGAACAGAACAGCTAATAATCAAGTGATCCATCCCATCGTCCATCCCAGCTTCTGGCAAACAGAGGCTAGGGACACCAATGATTGACCTATCCTCCATGTGTGACCAAGACACTTTTCAGTATGTTCCATCTTTACAACACCAGAGCAGTCCCAGAACTGAATATCTTTCTCAATGGACGCCACTTGAAACACAAATCCCACCTGGTCTACCTCGGAGTAACCCTACATAGATCTCTCACATATCCTAACCATCTGAGCATAACTATGACTAAGGTGAGGTAGCATAACAACCTTCCAAGCAAATTGGCTGGCACTTCAAGCAAATTCTCAAATGCTTTGATTATCTGTTTTAGCCTTCTGTTACTCTGTAGCAGAATACAATGGCTCGATCCGTCTCACATCAAGTTGGCTGACACACAACTACACTTAACCATGTGCATTGTAACTGGGACGATTTGACCCACACCAGTACCATGGCTCCCTGTGTTAAGCAACGTCACTCTCCCACACATTCATCATGAGGATACTATGGCCAGAATGGTTGAGAAGATGAGGGCAAACCTGAGCCTACCACTATATACATATCTCTTTGACCATCCAAGAGCACGCTTCTTGTTGAGGCTCCAGCGTGGGCCCATTTACCCTGTCCAGATTTCTCTGGGAAACTAATGATCCAACCAGTGGACTGCAGCTGACATCAGAAACTTGTCTCCATGCCGCTCATGGGCTCTTCTGAACTGATTTCAAAAGACCTGGGTCAATGTGCAGCCAGATTTCATACCTGGGGCCAACAAGAAGATCCCACATGCAGCTCTGGCCAACGACAGACAAGGTCACATATCACTGATGACTACCCTCTGACCAGATTTGATGGTGGTCTGAGGGACTGCACTCCACTGATGAGGCTGCTGCAAATGACGTTGGCAAGCTCCACATCTGACAAGAAGAATGGGAGCTCTGCCTAATAGAACATGCTCCTTGGATACTAGCTTTACTACTGGTCCAATACACAGTGACTCTGTAGGCAGAACTCTTACTAAGATCAATGGAGTTCTTCCCAAACATTTTACAAGACTGGGCCCTATTTAACTATTGGTGTAATTCAATCTCTGGGGGAAGAAAAATTGAACACTAAAAAGTACTACATACCAAGGGTAACAGACTAGGAACAGTCAGTCTTCTTTTGCCCCAAACTCTCTGAAGATGGTGCTTACTGCAAATGGAAACTGACTAATGTAGTTTGTAGTACTAGTATCTTCTCTTTTGGGAACAGAATCTTACAGAACAAAAACTAATCCTATTTCAGTTTCCTCTTTCATCAGGCTCAAAACTCTTTTAAACAAGGAGATGGCTGAAGCAGGTAGCTGACTAGGATGATCCTCGTCCATTTTCCTTTGCATATAGCTCTAGAATACCATTTCAGTCACTACTGCTGCTGTAATGGCAGGCAAATCTTAAGTCTTAATACAATGACCACATGGCATAAGGCCTGTGGCTCTGGAGTTTTGCTTGGACTAAAATTTTATTATCCCACTGATTTTTACTTTAAGCGCTTTTGAAAATTTTACCCTTGATCTTTAATTATAGGTACACACCTACTAACTTATCACCACAGATCATCCTTCCAAAACGGTTGTGAAAATGCTTTTAGTATGGCCACAGTAATATCATCTACTTCTCAGAATCAATACTCCCATCCTACCTGACTGTACGAGGTGCTCTTTCAAAATCTGGGTTTAAGATACTCATATGTAATTAATAAAATTAGGATTGGCTAACTGTTGTTGATATTAAAATAAACCTAACAGTCTAAAACACTAAGACTTAAATTGCTAGCAAAACATCTTATTTCGTAGTTGTTTGATACAAGTTTAAAGCATACCTGTTTGACATCCCGAACAAGGTGAAAGAGTGTTGGGTTAGTTGGGCCTTGTTTCTTTACACACACAAAGAAAAGAAAACACAGAATTTTGGACAGTTAAATTATAAGTGATCTTAAATATGAAAGATTGACATGAGAACATGGAAGCAAAAGCAAAAACTTGATATTTGCAAATTGACCTTAATGAAAGACGTGCTCTCTCTAAACTGTGAGCAACCATCAGATACAAATATTCCACCATCTAGCAATACTATGTGCTAAGCATTTCCCCTTTGTTTCTGGTTTTCCTTTCTGATCTTGTAACCCTGAGATCAGACGTGTGAGAGAGAGAGAGAAAGAGAGAGAGAGAGAGATCAGGTCAATGTACTGTAGCTCTTGTCTCACACAAACAGAATGGAACACCAGATTGATCAATGTATGGATTCATGTAAAATGTTATGTATCATTTTACTTTTTAGTTCTTTTAAACCACAGAAATCAATTCCATTCATATTTACAGAATTTAAAAATGAAAACAATTGAGTAAAGAATTTGTCATGTGGTAAGTTACTAAGTAAAAGTAGTTTTTACTTTGATACAAGAGTCTTCCTTTTCTAAACAGCTGTGTAGTGTTAAAACATTTGCCATGCTCCATCCCAGAAGCGGCTGTACATCAGCAGTGTATGAAATCATCTCTGTACAATTCACTTAAAAGTGTGAAATGCTATATATTAAATATTTAAACATATTAAAAATATTAATCGTTAACCATTTATTTACATATGGCAATAGTATATTGCCTTTATATAGTAACTTTTTAGTTTGAGAGTGCTTTCTAAAGATAAATATTGTTCACATTTTACAGATGAGGAAACTGGGTACAGACAGATAAACTGATTTGTCCAAAAAAATAAAACAAAATTATTTACAGAATGGGGTGTAGAACCTGGTTTCCTAGTTCCTAATCCTTTGCTTTAATCACTAGACCACACCTCTCACTTACAGAAAAAGATTATTTTTGTGCTTTCTAAAACAAAATTCACATTATTTATACCCTCTAATTTCCCTTGAAAGATCCAAAAGTAACTGTCATACAGTTACCATACTGTTTGTAAAAACACTCTGAAGATGTAAAGCACATTAATTGCTAAAAAGCATAAAACATTGTTTCTTTCATTAGGTAGCTGTCCTCCATGGATGCCTCATCTTGGGTCACAGGGACTCCTGCACGCAACTTTGATAACAAGTGAGTTTCAAAGCTTCTTGTACTGATTAGTTGTCAAATGCTGACATTCAGAATGTTCTCATCTCCTTCAGTGCATGCCTAAAACTTTAGTTTTTTTATAATGGATCACCACAGAAATACATGGTTATATGTTGCACCTACTGTTCTGTATGATCACCTAGTAAAGTAGTTAAATATATGGAATAAATGCCCATGAAAACAACGTTTCTAGGTAATCTTTAAAAATAAGTACGTATACAAACCAGGAGTTTTCTACCAGCTATTTTTACAAATTTTTCTAATTATGACAAGTTTACAGCTGTGACTTTATAAATTGAATACAGTATATAATATTATCTACAACTGTCATTAACTTACTGTGTTGTAAAGCTCTTCCAGCCTGGGAATTGTAAGGAACTTGTGCATGCTTACTCCATTTTCAATAAGAAGTTTCACAAATGCAACTCGATCCATCACAAGGGCATCTAACATAGCCTGTTCCAGGGATCCAACCTGAAGGGAGGGGGAGGGAAAGGAGGAGAAGGTGGTAAACTAATTACTTATTCAAAGACTATTACTGAGATAAATGTACCTCTACTTATCAAGCAGAACTAAATTAAAACACAGTCTCATTTATATACAGCAATAAAGTAAGCAAGGAAATAGTGAGAGGGTATTTAACAACTTTTAACAAGTTGCTTCAAAAACAAACAAGGTCAGAACTGCCATTAGTTCCAACAATGTTCCTGTGCTTTGACTGCAAAGTACTGTAAGGTTATTTTATTAATGGAAAAAGGAAAACCAAAATCTGAACCTTAGTACCCATGCCAATTTACAAGCCACAGACAACAGAAGAAAAGAAAGACGCTGCTGTTTAATACCCCATATATGTTTCTTCCAATTGACAGCAACAAGAATCTGTTCCACTGGCTTCTTTTTAAAGAGCTTTATAAGATCATATAATATGAAAGCAGAAGAAGCCAATGAGTTGCGGTATCTTTAGATGTTACAGCTCCTGATAAATAAGAGAGTTAAGTTTTAATCTTTTGTATTGAATTTTTTCCCCTGGTACTTGGAACATTTAGCACATATCTAAAATTATTGGGTTTATTTTTTAAGTAAACAAACAAAGTAGCCACCACAGCAGCTAAATGTCCAGAAATTGCTCTCCTAAAAATGTCAGTATTCTACTATTTCTACAGAATCAAAAAGTTCATTCTTTGCAATAATTTAGCTTCTGTTCTGTAAAATACCACTATGTTTAATCTAGAATATTTACATACCAGCCACTGTTGTCCATAAACAAAAACATGATTTTTGGCAATATCAACTCGGTCCCACGCCAGTGTAAGGATAAGCTGGTCAAATGCAGAAGCATTTGTACCTAAATCAAACAAACAAAGAATGTACATTTAGAATTTAAGTTGCTCATAAAATGAATCCTTATTTCACAAATTTTCAAATTTTAAGGTGGGATATTACACATTAAGACACCCCAAAACTGTTTAAAACAAATATTTTTACCTCAAAGAAAACACACAAATGTATAATATATTTTTTATTATTTGACACCATATATCCACGTCATAAGTAAGTAGCTGTAACAGAACAATTACTCACTTCGGAAAAAATTTAAACAAAAAATACATAAATATCACTCTACTATATAAACTGTTACATTTTCCTCATATTGTGCAATATTGGGGTTATTAAATGCCCTTAAATTTAAAACCTCACCTTTTAGCAGCGCTGTAAGTATTGCAACATCAATATCTTTATGTTCATCTGACCCAATATGGAATACGGTAATCTGTTTTATAAAAAAAACAGCATAATACTGAAATAAGTATTCCATCTCACTTTTAAAAACAGTATCTCCTCTATATTTTGTAGTACAAGGGATAAGCCTTTCACCATAAAGAATATAAAAATCTAAAATCAGTTTGAGTTTATGAGAACTTTGTTAGCTCATGTGTTCAAATACTGGCACAAGATTGGGATTAGAGTATGGGATGCTACTACTTGCCCTGATTCAGAAAAATACTTAAATATGTACTTAAACCCATCCTATTCAGTAAAGCAGTTTTCAAAACACCACCCCATAAGCAAAATGCCTAAATCCCATTGACTTCAATAGGACTTTATGTTTGTGCTTAAAATTAAGAATGTGCTCAATTATCCTGCTGATTAGGGAATACTTTCCTGAATCATGGTCACTAAGACTAAACATTTTACCGTAATACTGACCAAATAACATTAAAAACTTATTTCAGTTTTTAGGCCTCTCTGAAGCAACAATATACTACTTTAATTACAACTTCTTGGGTTCATTTTATATTGTAAAGTATCTTTTATTACACCATTTTGTGCTGATGAAAGAGAAGCTATCAAGCTTACAACAAGCTCTTCTACACATCTGGTTACAAAAACATCATTGATAATCAGCTGTAATCACAGTAAGCAGAATCACTTGACCAAAGGTAAGAAAAATGAACAAGAAAATTGGAGTTTGACTTTTATTTGGGACCATTCTATCTTCCCAGTTGTTCAGATTCCATCCCATAAAGATAAATCCTGATTGATACAAACAATCTGAGATGAATCTAAAATTAGATCTTACAAGTGCACATGCTTGAAATAAAAGGCTTCCAATGCTGAAATCCACTTACAAGTTCTTTTTTTTTCATGCATTCCAACAACGTCTGAAACAGATGAACTGCCTCACTCTGACCGAAGTTAAATGTCTTTTTGATGGTTGAAATGATTTCAGGTTCTGCTCCATCAGGAATATTTCTAAGATTACAAAAACAACCAAAAGCCCATATTGTTATACATGAACTCTAAGCACATCAATAAATATATTTCAAATGGTCTAAGACAGGGATCAGCAACCTTTCAGAAGTCTTCATTTATTCACTCTAATTTAAGGTTTCGTGTGCCAGTAATACATTTTAACATTTTTAGAAGGTCTCTTTCTATAAGTCTATAATATATAAAACTAAACTATTGTTGTATATAAAGTAAATAAGGTTTTTAAAATGTTTAAGAAGCTTCATTTAAAATTAAATTAAAATGCAGAGCCCCCCAGACCGGTGGCCAGGATCCGGGCAGCGTGAGTGCCACTGAAAATCAGCTCACGTGCCGCCTTCGGCACTCGGGCCATAGGTTGCCTGCCCCTGGTCTAAGACATTCCGATCCAAAAGCTCTGGGTACAAGTAGGAGCTTTACCAATATAATTATAACAATTGTCCAAAACTATAGTAAGTTTCCCTTCTTCCTAAGGGCCATACAAAGTAGGACTTTTCCCACAATCTCCGAAACCAGCTGAGCACCTCCACCACCCAATAACCTCCAGTAAAATCCTAAGAGAACAGCTAGGCTCCGTAGCATGACCAGATGATAAAATCTGGGCTTTGGCAGATCAACAGGACCAAAGTGAACGCAAAAATCGAATGCCCTCTCTCTGAGTATGTCCTGCCTCCTATCTCCTTCACAATTAAAACTAGCGGGCTCTTAGCTTTAGCACCTCAGCTCATCTCTACTGCCTCAAAATCACAATAGGAAAGGCAGTCTCTGACAAAGCATTAAATATGTAGGGTCCTATTTATATATACACACCTGAAAACTAACTGGAAGCCAGTGAGGCTCATGGAACACAAATGAATTGTCTTTCCTGTATGGAACGTCACTTCACAAGTAGGCAGCCACATCCCACACCATCAGAATAGTCTTAAGGTGACAATTGTTTTCAAACAAAACAGTTTATACAGAATCATTTCCTCTCTCTCGTCAGTCAAGCTCTTACTATACGTACAGCTCGTTAAATGAAACGGTCTGACAGCTAAAATACTTTCAAGTGGTATTTTCAGGTAGCTTGGTAACATAGTGGGACTACATTAGTCTTGTGTCTCTGAGAATTCTGGGTCAGTTCTGATTTCAGTCACAAGCAAAAATGAGTTTGAGGACTTCATCCTACTGTATCCTTGGAAGCATTACAAAAGCACCACACAATTTACAAAATCTGGCATGACTGGCAGTCTCTGCTCAGGAGGAATCCAGAGGCAAAACAGTGTGGCAGCTCAGAATTGAGGTTTACCGGTACAGCTGCGTGGGAAGTTTGGACAGAATGCATGATTGAAGTTATTGCGTGTAACCTCTGACTTTCATGGACACAAGGCTCCTACACAAGTTTGTTAATGGAAAGTGCTCTCAATCAAGTCTAGCACTATTAGTCAAAGTGTTAATCATATGTAGGCTTACCCTCCCTCTTCTGTTTGCTTATGAACATATGCCAGTATGTCTGCAGCTCTCCCAGTTCCCTCACATACTACTACTGGCACAGGAGGACTTTCTTGAAGGTATTCCAAAACTGTGAGGATAACATTGGGACCACCTTCAAATATCAGTGCTACCACAGGGACACCCTGGCCAATTCCTACAAAAAGGTAAAAAACATCAAATAAATATTGAAGCCAAAATTAATCTTCCTTTTAAAAAAATATTTCATGTTCTTTGATCCAAGCTTTACCAATATGCTGTGATGCAAACTCTTCCAAGTTTACTTCAGGTCAACAAGTAACATGAAAAAGTTACTACATCTCACATAAAATTGCTTTGCTACAGCAGTTGAGATCATTATGATATTTGTATGTGAATATACAGCCAACAAATTACACAGTGCATGAACAAATCATATTAACGTCCACAGTCTTGCCTCACAGTATATTACACCACTTGTTAAAACAATAAAATTAGAAGATGAACCATAATCCTTTTCTGCATCACAAAAGCACATTGTCACTATGAAAAAACTGCATTATTTTGTAACAAGATTTTTATAATTTTTAAAAGATTAGTAACGAGTACAGGAACTATGTTTGTAATAAAGTACGGATTGTTTTCTCATTATATTATATATAAGGAATATGGCATGATGTAAAAACTGTCGGGAATTCTTCAGAGAGGGAAAGATGTCCAAAACCAGAACAACATTTTCAGGGACTTCAAGTACATTCTTATCAGTAATGGTTACATCACCAATGGTGCAGATCAGTCTTCATGTGACTAAGGATTATGAGTAGGGCTGCGAGTCTGTCACGGAAGTCACAGATGACGTGACTTTCCGAGACCTCCATGACTTCTGCACCTAAGATTTAGTCAGGAGTATTTATAGTACAAGTCATGGACAGGTGAGGGGTCACGAATTTCTGTTTATTGCCCGTGACCTGTCCATGACTTTTACTAAAAATACCCATAACTAAATCTTAGCCTTAATTATGAGGCATTAACTACAGAAATATTCTTAAAGGACAGATACCATTATGTTAATTTAATACAGGAGAGTGCAGATCAGTGCAAAATGCCTGGGCTTCCTTCCCCCAAATGGCAGTGACCCTTAATTCAAATTTCCCAGTCATCCCCTACCATGAAACTACAAGTGATCAACTTCAGAGGCAATGGCTAATCAGATCAGTGAGGGCTACCAGTACTTGTGGGGCAAGACAGACAACCTATTCACTCCAAAGCCTTAAGTGATACATCCTGGCTTGATCTAGTGATGCTACACTGCCAATTCTAGAACTGGCAGGTGGCTAGTGCCAGCCCCAGAGGGCCATGAAAGAAGCCTCCTAGCTGCAGCAGGGTCAGTAATACTCCATAAGCAGTGCCCAGGGTTCAAGGCAGCAGCTGAAGTGATGTCCAGAACGGCCAAGACATGGATTTTGCATGGGCAACTGGGTTCCTGAAAGTGACTTAAATTCAGGGCTTGTTTACACACATAAGTTGCACCAGTTTAGCTTAAATCAGTTTAAAAACTAGTTTTGTTAAACTGGTGTGTATTCTTGTGTGGGGACATAGTTTAAAACTGGTTATATAGGTTTTGCTTGCACCTTTAAGTTTCCTTCGAGAGGGATCTTTGGTTTCCACTTTGGTTCAGTTAGATCAATTTATCAGACACAGTAATGGCTGTGAAGTAGGATACATTTTTAGGAAAAGTTAAAGAGGGGAGCTTAGCCTCAGGTGTTTCATTATACATGGAACTGGCAGCAGCACCACCTCTTGGGGGCTTATAATGGGAATTGTTGGGCAACCTTGTTTGCAGTTGCTTACACCTTTGCCCAACTTCAACTGTTTGGGCTAAAATGTTCTATGCCAGGTGTCCACATCAGAATGATGATTGGGGGGGTGGGAAGAGAAGAGGGTATTTCAGCCAAAAGAGTTCAGTTATTGCTAACAGCCTTTTCTTTAAGACGCTTTAACGTCCCCATACTTTGGAAGCAGACTTGAAATTTTGCATGGATGGGCTGTGTGTGTGATGGTGTGTTTCTAATTTTCTGGATGCATGACTTGAGATTCTGCAGTCTGATTTGCAGAGGCAGGGCACTCACAACTACAAGTGAAATCAGTGGGAATTGTGTTTTCAACATATAAAGTACAGTACAATGTTATGTATTCTGAAAAATCAAGTCTTAAATGCCTCAAACTGGATACCAAAAATTAGCCGTTTGTTACAGATTTGGAAATATTTTAATTTATGAATACTGTATGTTGACCTAGCTATTGGGATGTTTACTATATGAATACAGTAGAACCTCAGAGTTATGAACACCAGAGTTTCGAACTGACCAGTCAACAATACACCTCATTTGGAACCAGAAGCACGCAATCAGGCAGCAGCAGAGGAAAAAAAAAAGGCAAAATGCAGTACAGTACTGTGTTAAACGTAAACTACTAAAAAATAAAGGGAAAGCAGCATTTTTCTTCTGAATAGTTAAGTGTCAAAGCTGTATTAAGTCAATGTACAGTTGTAAACTTTTGAAAGAACAATGTTTTGTTCAGCGTTACGAACATTTCAGAGTTATGAACAACCTCCATTCCCGAGGTATTTGTAACTGATGTACTACTTTATGTTGGTTTAGTTTAGAATGGAGCTGTCAGGAAAAAACATGCAGGAAAGAGACATTACAGTAGTAAGGCAACCTGGATTCTGACCTTTCCTAACTTGTGAGAGCGTCACTTCACAACCTTAATGTGGGGGTTTTTTAAACCATAGTTTGTGTGCATGTAATATTTTTTAATAGAACAGAGAAACATTAGTCATTGCCAGGACATTATGATTACTTACTTGCATGGATCCGCTGCAAATTGATATTTTTTTCCAGTTCTCTTCGCAAGTTAACTTCTGCTCCATACTTTCCAACTGTTCCATCATCCACCAGTATGAAATGGGAATGGAGATTATTTAGGACATTTAGTTTACTTAGAGGGTTTAACAGAGTTTGATATGGAGCAACAACCTAAAAAACAACAAACAACAGGCATGATTTGCCAAGTGCCAGACTGATCACCACAATTTTAGCTATTTGGTCTGGTTAAAAGTAAAAGGGACACCACTGAAAGCCAACAGACCTAAAATGATACCTGCCAGCACACATGTCTTCACCCAGCAGCTCTGCCTACAGGCTGCATTCTTGCAGGAAAGTGGGTTACTGTACAACACAATAATTCTTCTCTAAAGTGCTATAGAGAGGAGGCCTCTAGCAAATTAAAACCTTGACTGCAGAAAAGAACAAAACAGACAGCAAAAAGTATATGCCTGAATCCATGAAGACATCTACCAAGCTCTGCAACTGTAACACGGAGACAAATTGAAATATCATTTTCAGAGTTGAGTCTCAAGATGTAGGACGACAATTTTAAAAAGTAGTTTACACAATGTCTGACTTTCCACTTAAAGTTACAACAGTGCAGTGGTGATTAGGCAGTTATGAAGGGGGAGAAAGAACTTTCATTCTGCGCAACTCATTCTCCATCCTGCCAAAACTCTACTCAGGCAATGGAGGGAATGGAGAGCTCTAATCGGGGAGTCGCTCCCCCTCTGAATCCTGAGCTGCATGGCCCTGGCCCAAGCTAGAGCTGCAAGGAACTAGTTTATGCCAGGGAGAGGACCAGGCAAAGGGGTGCTCTGCTTTGCTGTGTCCATTCCCCACCTTGCTCCCTGAATCCTGTACCAAGTGTGAGGTGGGTAACTAGCAGAGCCACCCCTGCCAGTAGAGAGTTCCCCCACGTGGAAAGGGCTGGCCATTGACACTGGCCATTTCCCACTGCTTTAAGTCCACTTTGCTCCCTAATTAAAAGAATGGAGAGTCCAACCCTAAATCCCTAGATACTTGAAAAAAAAAATCCTAAAGAGTTTAGGAAGACACGTTTCATTTACTTTCTATGGGACTTGTGCTCTTATATCTCTTTGCTACTTTTGAAGATCTCCCTACTACGGTATTGTCAAGTTTTGTAGCTTTTTGGAAACTTTTCCATAGACCTATAATTTCTTATGCTTGTTCTCAGATCACAGAGTAAGTTTTCTAGAAATTCTGTGGCTACTCTAACCTGTTCTTTGGGGCCATACAAGTGTACAACAATCTACTCTACTGAATTAGCATTTATTAATTTCTTACAGCAGCACTCCTCTGTAAATCACAACAGATGTCCCTATATCTCCCAGAGCAAAGATAGAAGTACCCCAGCATCACAAAAGGCAGTGAGACCGCAAACCTGAGCAGATTATTCAAACACAAATACAAAAGATCATGCAGTTAAAAGTTATTTCAACTGGATAAGCCCATTCTTACATCTCTTCCAACAAGGTCATTTCTGTTTTCAATCACTCCCCATGGAGCTATCCCAATAGTGCAAATCTTTCGAGATGATCTGGAAGCATGTTCTCTCAGGGCGTCACCAACATGTTTTGCAACACCTGTTCATACACAAGAAAACATTCTGTATATTGAAACTACATCCTATTAGCATTAACCTCCTCAATTACTGTGAAGATTAGAGAACTCACTTAGTTGACAGCATAAAGGAAGACCTACTGTGCACAAAACATACATTAACAGTAACAAAGTACTGAGAATTTCTAGTAACTTTACAACATATATGCCAGCCAGTCTTCTACACTGACAAAACAAGCTGCACTATAGTACTGCATATTTTGAAGCAACATACACTTTTTGCACAATTTACATGTTCTATATTATTACATAATATCACAAGATTTAAGTTCATATGCTCAAGATAAAATTCATGAACATTCATTTGTTTAATTGTAAAGTCAGTCAAACTTTAGACAGTATTTTAGAGATACAAATATTTTGTTCCTCCGACTAGACAGTCATTCTGGAATCTGCATACCTTTATTTAAAAACTAGAATGTGAGTAAACTGTGCACATGAGTCTGTACTGTTATTTGAAGGTTTATATTATATAAAATTTATACTTTATTTATTTACCTGTGTTCACTCCTCCAGTTATAATCCAGGCACCTGTTGTTACTGCAGCTTTAATAAGACCTTTGCCAAGCAATTGTTTGATGCGTGGATGAAGTTCAAATTTCTGCATCCCCCCATGTACAGAGATAACAAGTCTGGGCAGCTCCATTTGCCATTCTTTAAGAAGAAGTTGTAGAATGGCTTCAGGCTTAGTGTCATATGACAATCGCACATACTAAGACGAAAAAAAAAAAAGTTGTGAGGTTTAGTAGGTTCCTATAATAAACCATTACATAATTGATAAGCAACAGAGGGTCCCGTGGCACCTTTAAGACTAACAGAAGTATTGGGAGCATAAGCTTTCGTGGGTAAGAACCTCACTTCTTCAGATGCAAGTAATGGAAATCTCCAGAGGCAGGTATAAATCAGTATGGAGATAACAAGGTTAGTTCAATCAGGGAGGGTGAGGTGCTCTGCTAGCGGTTGAGGTGTGAACACCAAGGGAGGAGAAACTGCTTCTGTAGTTGGATAGCCATTCACAGTCTTTGTTTAATCCTGATCTGATGGTGTCAAATTTGCAAATGAACTGGAGCTCAGCAGTTTCTCTTTGGAGTCTGGTCCTCAAGTTTTTTTTGCTGTAAGATGGCTACCTTTACATTTGCTATTGTGTGGCCAGGGAGGTTGAAGTGTTCTCCTACAGGTTTTTGTATATTGCCATTCCTGATATCTGACTTGTGTCCATTTATCCTCTTGCGTAGTGACTGGCATATATAACATTGGTGGACGTGCAGGTGAATGAGCCGGTGATGTTGTAGCTGATCTGGTTAGGTCCTGTGATGGTGTTGCTGGTGTAGATATGTGGGCAGAGTTGGCATCGAGGTTTGTTGCATGGATTGGTTCCTGAGTTAGAGTTGTTATGGTGCGGTGCGTGGTTGCTGGTGAGAATATGCTTAAGGTTGGCAGGTTGTCTGTGGGCAAGGACCCAGAGGGCTGCTTTACCGTGTTATATCAGAATTCGTGTTATATTGGGTCGCGTTATATCGGGGTAGAGCTGTATTAATGAAAATCTAGAATATTGCCAAAATAGGACCAGTTCAATTGCTGAGGCTGAATGTATTTTCGTCTGTATATCCCATGTAAAAAGATATTCCAATTGTGAAAAAAACACAACCATTCTCCCCCTTCCCTTCCCCCCCACTATGCCCACGCCCTCCAGAGAGGAGATGGGGGTAATGGAGTTAAGAATGATGCTACGTCCCTAATATAGGCCATACAGGGAAGAGGGAGCAAATGGGCAGAAGTGAAATCTTACTCAGACTAGTTCCCAGTGGGCAGGGGTCCACACTAACACCACCATCACCACAATTGGTACTAATTAGTTGGCAGTCTCAGCAGAGGTGCCAAATAATGAAAGAACATGGAGACTGAACTATTTTTTCACTCCTAGAAGTGGTTCCTCCAGGACAGGGTTGAGGTACACTGCAAGCCAGGGAGAGGGAAACTTTCTGTGCTGTTATCCATGCTGTAGCTGTTTCTGTGGGTAAATGGAGTACTTCAGTCTCCATGACTTTCAATCCAGCACAAGCATTAACAGAAGAAATTTAGCAGAAGTTAATCATACCTTTCACAAAAAGGTTATAGTCAGAGAAAAATATGGTCTTTCTAGTAACCAACATCTATGCACTCAGACTTTTCTTTTTTAAAGTTTCAGTTTACTTTGAGACTTAGTTAGCAGATTTGAGACCTCATTAGCAGATTTGTTCAAAGGTTTGTTAAACAAAAACAAGCATGTTTCCCACTAACCCACAACTCCAAGTAGAGGTCACTTTTACGGCACAGTTTGAAAAATGTTTAAATACAGGCTTTAGAATGGATGTGTTACAAAAATGTAACTATGACAGTGAGTGGCACAACTATAAGTAAATCAGATTTTCATTATGATTTACACAATTGGGAAGGGTGACAAACTAGGGACCTCACTTTCTTGAGTTTCAGAGTTGCAGCCGTGTTAGTCTGTATTCGCAAAAAGAACAGGAGTACTTGTGGCACCTTAGAGGCTAACAAATTTATTTGAGCATAAGCTTTCATGGGCTACAGCCCACTTCATCTGATGCATGCAGTGGAAAATACAGTAGGAAGATATACACACACAAACACCCCCCCAATTCAGCAGTCTCTCGTTGGAGTCTGTTTTTGAAGTTTTTTTGTTGTAATATTGCAACTTTTAGGTCTGTAATCGAGTGGCCAGAAGTGGACTGAAGTGTTCTCCAACTGGTTTTTGAATGTTATAATTCTTGACATCTGATTTGTGTCCATTTATTCTTTTGCTTAGAGATTGTCCAGTTTGGCCAATGAACATGGCAGAGGGGCACTGCTGGCACATGATGGCATATATCACATTGGTAGATGTGCAGGTGAATGAGCCTCTGATGGTATGGCTGATGTGATTAGGTCCTATGATGGTGTCCCCTGAATAGATATGTGGACAGAGTTGGCAACAGGCTTTGTTGCAAGGATAGGTTCCTGGGTTAGTGTTTTTGTTGTGTGGTTGCTGGTGAGTATTCGCTTCAGATTTGGGTCTGTCTGTAAGCAAGGACTGGCCTGTCTCCCAAGATCTCTGTCTGAGGGGTTGGAGCAAATGTGATTGTATCGTAGAGCTTGGCTGTAGACAATGGATCGAGTGGTGTGGTCTGGAGGCATGTAGGTAAGTATAGCGGACAGTAGGTTTCTGGTATAGGGTGGTGTTTATGTGGCCATCGTTTATTAGTACTGTAGTGTCCAAGAAGTGGATCTCTTGTGCGGACTGGTCCAGGTTGAGGTTGATGGTGGGGTGGAAATTGTTGAAATCATGACGGAATTCCTCAAGGGCTTCTTTTCCATGGGTCCAGATGATGATGATGTCATCAGTGTAGCGCAAGTAGAGTAGGGGGAGATTTCACACACGAAAGGCTCAGACTATATAACGTTTTTTGTTTTTTTCCTAAAACCTACCAGCATTTGATTATTTGCAGTGAAGACTTCACATGAAGCTAGCCAGCCTTTTGGTAAATCACATGGGTTGTCTTTGGTTTAAAAATTACTGACTAGAGCAGTAGTCCCCAGACTGTGGGGCATGCCCCCCTTCGGGGGGCGCGAAAGAACATCCAGGGTGTGCATGCAGTGGGGATCGGGCCAGCCCCCATGGGAGGCAGGGAGAGAGTGCCGCCCAGCTCTGCTCTGCCTCCAGCCCAGCTCTGGCCCCAGTTGCAGCTCCACTCCAGCCCCAGCCCCAGCTCCACCCCGCCCACCCAGCCCAGCTCTGCCCTCATTCCCTCTCTTCCCCCAGGCCAGCTCCGCCTCTAGCCCCAGCTCCTTCCCCACCCCCAGTTCTGCAGTCAGCCCAAGCTCCTCTGTGCAGTAATGGAGATAGGGCACAGATTGATTCCATTACTGGTAAGCGGGAGGTGGAGGGGACGACAGGAAAAGTTTGGACACCACTGGACTAAAGAGAAGTCAATATTTGGGATAATAGGACTCCTACTGATAGTAGGGAGGCTACTATCTCACAACACAGGTATAGGCATTTCATCTTTTTGCCAAACCTTTCATTTCAAGATTTAAATGGAGTATCCAAACATCTTTGGCAATGGGTCAAGGGAAGGGGAAAAAGTCTTTTGTACATACCTTTGCTCTGCACGAATGAGAGCCACCTTGAAAGTTAATGACACCATAAGCATCAGTTGAACTCTGTTCTGTGTGTTTTTCCACTGACCATTCTTCTATTTCCTGATTAAAATTTTCACCCAGTTTGACATCTGTATATTTCATGGCAAGACTTGCAGTAAAGCAAGCATGTTGCCTGACCAAGCGACCACAGCAGCACCTGTACAAGATTATATATTACATTTTATTTTTACATTTGTAATCATTAATTTCATTGTACTTGGATGCCTGGAGTAATTAAAGGGGACAAACCTGTTTACAGCAGAGTCAGTGGAAAAAAAGTTAGAATTTCCACGCCTATAAATGAACTATCTGAACCTCAGTTACACCTTTCTAGGGTTATGTCTACATTAGCACATTTGTCGGTAAAACTTTTGTTGATCGGAGTGTGAAAAAAGCGCACACACCCTCGACCAACAAACGTTTCATCAACAGAAGCACCATTGTGAACAGCGCTATGTCAGCGGGACAGCATCTCCCTCTGACATAGGTACCATTTGGGGTGGTTTAATTATGCTCGCAAGAGAGCTCTCTCCCGCCAGCATAGAGCCACTACACAGGAGACCTTACAGTGGCACAGCTGCAGCGGTACAGCTGTGCCGCTGTAAGGTCTGTAGTGTAGAATGATGAAGTATAGGAAAACCTTTGGATGAGTAACTCCTATCAAAAGACTGGCAGGCTGATGTAATCAAACCTGGCAAGAGATTTTGGCACTTAGCACTAATTCCCCACCTATTTTCTTTAGCTTTCCAAAGACAAAAGTTCCCATAACATTCAGAGCAAAGTTATACAGATGATTCATAATTATGTCAAATACTGATGGCTCTTATTCAAAGCTAAAAAGAGTGCAGTGAATTGGAAGCCAAAACACATTAAGAGTAGCCAGCAGACTAGAAGTGTCCAGAAAGGTTTGATTATTTAAGTTACTTTTTCCTAAGTATTATAGGTAGGGCTGGTAGCGCTGCTTATTATTAAGGTTGCCCAACACTTTCCATTATAAGACCCTGTTTCCAGTTGCCTATATCTTTGCCACGTTAACCATTTGGACTGAAATTTTACATGCCAGCTGAAAGATTCAGCCAAAATGTCTCAGCCATTTCCAATAATGACTCCATGCCGGGGGCAGTGCTTGGACTTCGTTCAGACTTGGGAGCATCATGAATCAGTGGTTAGAGCCCCACAGCAGTCTGGTGAGTATCCAAGAGGGTGGGGCTTGACCAAGTGTGTGACAGGTAGTGAAGAGACAGATTGGATGAAGGGTCTGGAAAGGGAGACGAAACATATTGGATGGAAGCTGGGAGAGATGGTTGAAAGGGACAGGACAAAAAAGAGGCTGTCCCCACTAAAGCACACTCCCCTCCAATGCCTGAAATGGAACCCCAAACCCCCAAGTCTCAGCATTCCTCTGCTGTCAGGAAATATCTGTGAAACCCAATGGCAAAGTGTGTGTCTCATCCCCCTCTAGTGCTCGTCCACAGAGAACGACAACCAACTACTGCTCTCTGTTACTATGTTAATTCAAATGGCAGAGTTCTGTGCTGTGGAACCAAAAGCTCCAAACCTGTTGATGAAACTTCAGTGTCAATATAATACCACATCCTGGAATTTGTTTTTTTCAGTTCACTTTTATCAAAACCTAGGCAATTACACACAAAAAACTATGTTAAAAGAACATTATTAAGGTTGCAAAGTCAAGCATTCAACAGTTAGAAAATGCCAGAAATAAAGGTTGCCTTGTGTGCAGGGACATCCCTAGGGGGGTCCGGGGCAGAAGTGATAGATGTGTCTCCTCTGGGACCGACCACGCTGGCCAATTGCACCGGCTTGCAGGACCTCCCAAAGCACGTGGCCTGGAGCGGTTGCCCCGACTCGCCTACCCAAGGGACAGCTCTGCTTGTATGTATGCATTATGATAGAGTTAATTATGTAATCACATACTATTTTTTTTTCACATGATCCCTGCCTCATTCAGTGCACAGGATAGACCTGCGCTGGGTATGAACCAGATTGTGTAATGAAAGAGACTGTTGTCTTTAGGACCCTTACCTTATTTGTGGCAGAAGTTCAATGAGGCAGGAGATGGCAGGAAGACAGAGGATGGCCTCAAGGTTAAGGCAATTGAATGCTGCCCTGGCAAACTGGATTCTATCCCTGCCTCTTCCACAGTGTTCTTATGTGACGCTATTCAAGTCGCTTGAACAAAACTTTTCATGGGTGGCCACTAATGGTGTGTTCCTCATTTTCTGGATACCTGATTTGATACCCTCAGATCTAATCTGCAGAAGTGCTGAGCACTCACAGCTGCAACTGAAGTCAATGGGATTTGTGCTTTCAATGTACACTGCTATGTAATGGTAAGTACTCTGAACAAAAAAAAAATAATAAAAACATTCAGGTCCTAGTCATCTCAACTTTGTCACCCAGAATTAGTGAAAGCTTTTGACCTTGTTCTCTGTGCCTTAGCTCCCCACTGAAAATGGAAATACCACCACCTGACCTCACAGGGGGGTTGCAAAAAGAAATTAACACTTTTGAAGCACTCAGACACTGTCGTGATAAGCACCATACAAGAGCCCATGAGGAAATTGATAATTCTGTTTTCTGAGTAGGGTTTGAATAGCATGTAGTAACATAAGAACAGTCATACTGGGTCAGACGAAAGGGCCATCTAGCGCAATATCCTGTCTTCTGCCAATGTCAGGTGCCCACAGGGAATGACAGAACAGGTAATCATCAAGTGATCCATCCCCTGTCACCCATTCCCAGCTTTTGAAAAACAGAGGCTAGGGACACCATCCCTGTCCATCCTGGCTAATAGCCATTGATGGACTTATCCTCCATGAACTTATCTAGTTCTTTTTTGAACCCTATTATAGTTTTGGCCTTCACAACATCCTCTGGCAAGGAGTTCCACAGGTTGACTGTACAGTGTGTGGAAAAAATACTTCCTTTTGTTTGTTTTAAACCTGCTGCCTATTAATTTCATTTGGTGACCCCTAGTTCTTGTGTTATGAGAAAGAGTAAACAACACTTCCTTATTTACTTTCACCACACCAATCATGATTTTATAGACCTTAATCATATCCCCCCTTAATTGTCTCTTTTCCAAGCTGAAAAGTCGCTGTCTTATTAATCTCTACTCACATGGCAGCAGTTTCATATTCCTAATAATTTTTGTTACCCTTTTCTGAACATTTTCCAATTCTAATATAATATAACTTATAATAGTAAAGAGGGTTGAGGCCACATGTTGAGCAACAAAGATTGAACAAAATATCAAATAGCTGCTCATAAAGTGAGCACAATCCATTTTGTACACTGAATGAGAAAGGGAACAAATAATATGATCATGTAATTAAAGGTTGCATCATAATGCATATGCATACAGTGGCTTTAATTCTGGTATTCTCTAATTGTTGAGGGTTTGACTTTCCAACCTTAATAATGTTTTTAATATAATTTTATACAATATCTACCCCATAGTTAGGGCCCTACCAAATTCACGCTCCATTTTGGTCAATTTCATGGTCATAAGATTTTTTTTTTTTAAATAAATTTCATGATTTCAGCTATTTAAAACTGAAATGTCATAGTGTTGTATTTATAAGGGTCCTGACCCAAAAAGGAGGTGTGTGTGGGAGGGGGAGGGGGAGTCGCAAGGTACGAGGGGCTGTGGTACTGCTACCCTTACTTCTGCACTGTTGCGGATGTTGGCGCTGCTTTCAGAGCTGGGCAGCTGGAGAGCGGCAGCTGCTGGCCCGGATCCCAGCTCTGAAGGCAGAGCCACTGCCAGCAGCAGCGCAGAAGTAAGGATGGCAAGGTATGGCATTGCCACCCTTACTTCTGCACTGCTGCCTGCAGAGCTGGGCCCTCAGTCAGCAGTTGTCACTCTCCAGCCACCCCCCTCTGATGGCAACAACGCAGAAGTAAGGGTGGCAATACCGCGGCCCCCCCTAAAATAACCTTGCGACCCCCCCTGCAACTCCCTTTTGGGTCAGGATCCCCAGTTTAAGAAACGCTGGTCTCCCCCGTTAAATCTGTGTAGTATAGGGTAGGGTAAAAGCACACAAAAGGCCAGACTTCATGGGGGGAGACCAGATTTCACAGTCAGTGATGCGTTTTTTCATGACCGTGAATTTGGTAGGGCCCTACCCATACTGCATACAACTTCCATATAATTCTGTATATTTTACACAATCTTCTATTTCTAGTCTTTTGCTGGCTGGTCACTTTGTAATATTAAAATTCTTTAAAAAATGTTAAATATTTATTCAGAGACTTATTGTAACAAGCCAAAGTCATAATAATTATCACTAAAAATAAAGAGTTGCTTACCTGACAAGTTGTTGACAAATCTGACATCCTGGAAGGCATCTATGAAAAAGAATACACAGGTAAAGACAAGTTTAACATTTTTTGTACACTTCATATGTATACAGAACAAAGATTATTGACTAAAAACACAGATCTATAATGATATGGAAAATGGGTACCTAACCTTTCACCAAATATATACGTTTCAAGCTCTTCTTCATTTATGTCTCTGATTAACATTAATATAGTAAAGCATGGCAACACAGGGATGGTTAGCACAAAAAAATATATTCTCCGCATCTATTTGTTAAGCTACAAAAGTCAACTTCTATTCAAAAAGTTTCTACCTGCACTCATTGAAACAATTATAAACAAACTGAGACCTTGTCTACATTACAGTTTCATCAACAAAACAGTTGAGGTGTACACACAACAATGCTCCTCTGCTGATGTAACTCTCCTGCTACGCTGACATAAAACCACCTTGATGAGCCGCATAAAGCTTTTTGCAACAAAGTTAGAGCAACACAGTGTCAGTGTAGACCAGGGGAGGGCAAAACTTTCAATCCGGCCCATAGGATTGCCAGCCCTGTGGCGCAGCAGGACTAAGGCAGGCTCTCTGCCTGCCTGGGCCCCGCACTGCTCCCAGAAGCAGCTGGCACCAAGTCCCTGCGGCCCTGGGGAATGGAGGGGGGCAGAGAGCTCCGTGCGCTGCCCTTGCCTGCAGGCATCGCCCCCCCGCAGCTCCCATTGGCTGGGAACAAGGAACCACGGCCAATGGGAGCTTTGGGAGTGGTACCCACAGGTGAGGGGAGTGCGCAGCGGAGCCTCCTGCCCCACCTCACCCCACCCCCAGGAGCCACTGCTGGATAAGCTGGCCACTTCCAGGAGCACCACGGGGCCAGGGCAGCCAGGGAGCTTGCCTTAGCCCCTCTGCCACCCTGGAGCCGCTCGAGGTAAGCGGCGCTGGGCCCCCGCACCCCAACCCTCTGCCCTGAGCCCCCTCCTGCACCTGAACCCCCTGCCGCACCCCAACCCCCCGCCCCAGCCTTACATTCATATGGCCCTGCGTACAATTTCTCCACCCAGATGTGGCCCTCGGGCCAAAAAGTTTGCCCACCCCGGTGTAGACGCTGCACTTGCTTATGTTTCCCTAAGTGGCCTCTAGGTGGTGTCCTAAAATGCCCATCATGACTGCTCTGCTAAGCAGTTTCTATTCTGCTGCCCTGCAGACAGGTACACAGGCATGCACCCCTCCCCCTTTAAAGCCCTAGGAATTTCTACTTCCTGTTTGCTCAGCTTGGACAGCTCACATTGCATCTTCCCAGCTGACTGTGCCAGCTTTCCACAGCAAACAGGCTCCCACGTGGAGTACTCCACAGTTGCTGGATCTGTTGGGTCTGTGGGGAGAGGAGGCTGTGCAGTTGCACCTCGTAGGAACTCTGACACCTACAAGCAGATTGCTCGTGGCATGGATGAGAAGGGGCACAAAAGGGACATGCTGCAGGGCTGTGCTAAGATAATGGAGCTAAGACAGGCTACCAGAAGGCAAAGGAGGCCAACTGTCACTCTGGTGTAGTACCAAAAATATGCCACTTCTACAAGGAGCTATATGCTATCCTCAGTGGTGACCCCACCTCCACTGCCAAGAGCCCTGTGGATACTTCGGGGCGGTGCCCAGCAGAGTCAACCCGAGAACAAAGTAGTGGATGAGGAGGGTGAATTGGAGGAGGATGTGTGACAGGCAACAAGCTTGTCTAGTGGTGTAGCAAGCCAGGACCTCTTTCTGACTCAGGAGGGGTCTAGCCAGTCCCAGAAGCAGTCTGGCAAAGGTGTGCCTGAAGCAGGAGAGGGGAGCTCCAGTAAGTACTCATTTTTCTTTGATAATTCATGGTTACATGAGGTAGAGGTGTCTTATTTTGTTACATGGTGCATGTGGGAGAAGGGGTCAAAATTAACACAATTAGGTACTATTTTGCATCTGCTTCACATTTCCGTGTGCAGCTACATAATGGGGGCCCTGTGGAAAAGTTTGTTGATGCACACCGAGATCTTCTAAGAATCCTCCATAGAGAGCTCTAGGAAACTTTCCTGCAGATACTCAGCAATCCTCCACTGAAGGTTCCTTGGCAGAGCTACTTTGTTCTTTCCTCCGTTGTAGGAAATTTTGGCGCGCCAATCAGCAATTACTTCTGGAGGAATTAAAGCATCACACAGGTGAGCAGCATATGGTACCGATCTGACATGACACATATGTAGGAGATGCACCCTTCCATCTTCAGTTACCCTCAATAGTATGATTTCAGCTTCGATCGCCCCCCACCTGTGGAAAACGGTGCTAGTATTCAGAATAATGTCTCAGGACACTTGTACTGATCCCCTTCTGAAACCATCCAGACTCTTTGTCCTGCCTTGCACCTTCTTCCCCCCCACACTGCCAGGGCCAAACTCACCATGTTTAGTACTCTGACCGTGCTGTGTGCTTAATAAGGGAAAGTGAGAAAGAGGTATATGTAACTTTTATGATTTAAGACTGAGTGCACATACAATAATTACTCTATGTATTGATTCTTTTGCTTCTGCAGATGTGTCCTTGAGGGCCAGCTCCTACAAACCAGCGGAGCACCTCCACCAGATAAGAAGGTGAACGAGGAAGAATAAGGAGGACATGTTTCGGGAATTGCTGCAATCCTAACATCAGGCCAATAGCAAGCACAGAACATTGAGATAGACAAATGAGAAACTAGAGGAGAGGAGACAAAGTCAAGAGTGGGTAATAAAGTTCATGGAGGACCAAACAGAGATCGTGAGGTCCCTGATTACTCTGCAGGCAGAACACGTGAGTGCTCGACTCCCCCTTACTCCTGGGGGAATTCTGCATCACTGAGCATGTGCAGAGTTAATGTCCCCCGCAGATTTCTTTGCTTCCCCGCAGAAAAATGACTTCTGATGGGAAGCAAAGGGAAGGCACAAGAGCAGTCATGTACGCCTCCCTGACAGCACAGGCAGGTTGGTTCGGGCGCCTGGAGCAGCTGGCAGAGACGTAAATGAGATGGTGATGGGCAGTCATGCATGTGTGTGTGTGAGAGAGAGAGAGAAGCTCTGTCCCTCTCGCTCGCTATTGCAGCACGCTTGGCATGGAGGGGCAGGGCTTTGGGGTGTTTCTAAAGAGGTAAGCTTGGGGCAGGCTCTGTCCCCTCAGTTAGAGCAAAATGTAGCAGCCTGCCTGCTTAGTAACTGTTCCCATTGTCTTTGTGAATTCCTCCAGGAGTATAAAACAGGTGTAAAACTTTTAAGGCTCCTTTACATTGCCAGAGTTGTGTAAAGGACATGTGGCCTTATAAATGCTAAGGTTACTTTAGTGATTAGAACTGATCTAAATTTCTGGACTGAAAAAAATTCCTATCAAAATGTGCTCCATGAACTGTCTGCTACTAACCTTTCTGGAGATGGTCAATAGCCAATATAAATTATGGGTTTGATTCCTCAGCTTCACTTGCCTATGATGTAACACTGAGCACATGACTGCATATATTTGTTGACTAATAATTAGAAATAAAGGGTGAAACCTAGCTACATTACTATAAGGCAAGGTGGGTTGGGGATTTCCTCCAATGCTTCCCACTCCCATTCTCCATCCACTGTATTGTAGTTTAAATAAATCACCAAAATAACTGAAACCAGCGTGATTATATTGTGTTAGTTTGACAAATAAAACATGCGGAATTTTGCAGATTTTCAAAATATTGTGTACAGAATTTTTAGGCGCAGAATTCCCCCAGGAATATCCTCCTGCAGCCCGTACAGAACTGTATTCCTTGCCCTCCCCACACACATTCCTCTTGCATTCCTGACCCATAGCAGTATCCCTTGCACTCCACTGCAAGTACACCTTACACTCCACTGCAAGGGACATTTTCCATAATGACAGCTAGCCTTTCTGAAGTGAGGATCTCACAGCTACGTGTGAGTGCTGCTCACTGTCAGGTCTCTTGTAAGAAATATTAATCTGTGTATTACCTTTAATAAAAATTGAGTTTTACAAAGACAGTGCTTCTTTCTTTGTGACTTACACAGGATGGTTGCAACAGAAATTCAAACAGTGGCAACTGCCACATTTGCAGACTACAATTAATGCTCAGGCAGAAATCATTACAGGGGTCAGTCAAGGTGGCAAGTAAACAATGCCTGGCTTAATTTATTACAGAAAGCCATTACTGGGGCTCATTGTCAAAATGCTGCTTCAAAGCCTCCCCGATTCAAATAGCCCCCCATTGAGCCCCTCTAGTAACCCTGCTGTCTGGCTGCTCAAAATCAGCCACCTGCAATCCACCTCATCGCTCCACCCCTGGGGAAACTTTACTCTCTTAGCTTCATAAACGTTATGCAGTGCACTGAGGTCTAACCTGCCAAAACGGCAGTACCAGCAACCCTTTAATCTGCCAAAGGCACATTCTACGGTCATTCTGTACCTGCTGAGCCTGTTATTGAAGTGCTCCTTGTTGCTGTCAAGATTTCAGGTGTATGGATTCATGAACCACAGGAGTGAGGGGTAGGTTGGGTCTCCCAGGATCACTATGGGCATTTCCACATCCTCTATTGGAAAGTCCCTACTTGTGGCTTTCTGTACAGGCGAGGGTTTGTGAAGATACATGTGTCATGCAACTTCCCTGACCACCTTGTGTTGATGTCAGTGACATGACCCTGGTGATCCACCAGCGCCTTCAGTAGCATAGATAAGTAGCCCTTTCTGTTGATGTACTCTGTCGCAAGATGGTCTGGGGCCAAAACTGGGATGTGTGCACCATCTATAACCCTGCCGCAGTTAGGGAATCCCATTGCCACAACGGCATCCACTATTTCCTGCACACTACCCAGAATCACAGTCTTTCGTAGCAGGAGATGATTCATGGCCCTGCACACTTGCATCAGTGCAACGCCCCCCAGTGGACTTCCCAACTCCAAACAGATTCATGACTGACCGGTGGCAGTCTGGAGTTGCCCACTTCCACACAGCAATCACCACTCGCTTTTCCACCATTAGGGCAGCTTTCATTTCTGTGTTCTGGCACTGGAGGGCACGGGCGAGCTCCACATAAAGTTCAAAGAAGATGGCTTTGCACATACGAAAGTTCTGCAGCCACTGCTCATCATGCCATACCTGCATCACAATCTGATCCCACCACTTGGTGCTTGTTTCCCGAGCCCAATAATGACGGTCCACCTTGTGCAGCTGCTCTGTGAATCCCAAATAAATTTTGAATTGTTTCTTTCCATGGCACACAGTAGTGCAGGCAGCACAGATGCCTGTTCAGATTAGCAATTTATGAAATACTGAAGGTCAGCCACATTGTGTTCATAATACTTATCAAAGACTGATGAGCAGTGCAGGATCAATGCTTTCAGGCAGAGAGGGCAGGCACAAGGTTTACAGGTGCAGTTGAAAACTGTGCAAAACCCAGTCAGAAGTCCTTGGAATTATGGGATGGAGAAAACTGCATCAGAGGGGCGGTGATTTCGCTCCCATGATGCACTACGATCCATTCCTAGAACTCCTTACGGGAGGTGGAAGCGATTTGCACAGGGGGATAGCTACCAATGGTGCATACTCTCTTTGTCAGTACTAAAGCATCACCTGTGGACAAGTTCTACCGACACAAGGAGCATTTTGCGAAAATGCACAAGCAATGTAATTACAGCGATCATTACAATTACAATGATCATTGACGTAACTTAAGTCAACTTAACTCTATAGTGTAGACATGGCCTAAATTATATTTTTAGGCCCTGATTCATCAAAGTACTTAAGCACATGCATAGGCCTATTGAAGTTAAATAATTGTCTTTAATCACCATTAACTTCAATGGGATTATTCACACTGTTTCAGGTTAAACCCATGCTTAAATGTTTGGTAAACTGGGGTCTTAAACTAGATAGTATGAAGCTTTTATATTTTTCTTCAACTCTTGGAAGGGGGGGTAATATGCTGTCTTTTTCTTTGACTCCATAGTTTAAATACTGTGGCATCTCTCCCTCAGAGTTGATCCTTCTCATTCCTGTGTCTTGTTGGGATTGTTTGCTTTGGGGTGAAGGTTATTTTGCCCTTCATGTGCACAAGGCTAAACTGGGTCCTAATGAACTTGTATAATGTTCTATTAATTCAATTAATTCATTGTGAAAAGATGCAGAAATTCTAATTCCATCTCCTTCCAAATCTCATTTTACACATCTTTTCCTCTTTGTCTTTGCCTCTTACTTTCCCTTTCTGTATTTGCATCACAGTTCTCTGTAACTTGCATCATAAACAATTAACTAACCTGTATTATTCAAGTCCATAATAAATTTTGGTATAATTGTACAAAAATATACTATATAAAATAAAATTATATTGTATATTCACCTTTTATAACTATGCTGAAAATAAATTAAAGCATAAAGCAAGCTCTTTAAATTGTAGTTATTTTAGCCTTTTTTGAAGCTACATTAAGTTATAAATCTTCTGGATATTTAATATGAAACGAGATTTCAATAATTGCCAAACTAGGTTTTTATCTATAGATCACAACTTATGCTAAGCAAAATTATTCTGCAAAACATCTAAAAAATATTTTTTTCTGTTCTATATTTGATTCTTTCATGCATATTTCAGGAACTACAGTAAGATAAAATCTAAGGAATGGATTGGCCAAATGTGAAACTTCATTTGTAGGCTACAAATGGATTAAACTTAAAAAGACAAGTGTTGAAAGATTGTTTTGTTCCCTGGGAAATGCTCTGGAAATTTTAACAGCTTCCTAATTACTCTGCTTGCATTTGCAAGTTTTCCATGTGTTTCAATTGGATCGTGGCAGTAAATTTTAAAACCTTCTCAGGGTCCTATGGTTTCAAGGAATTTAATGAATCATTTGTGATACATTTCACAGACTAGAGCTTTATTCTGCCTGAAACAAATTCTCAAAAGAAACTAATATTAGTCTGAATTTAGCAAAGTTTATACAAGTGTTCTATGTGCAGGACTTGAACTAGCAGCTTTATGGATCTGAAAAGCAGAAGTTTAATTCTAAAAGTCATTGAAACTGTTTAACACTTAACTTGGGGCTGTAGAGGTAGTTAAATTGCAACTAGTATTTCTAATTTTAGCAATTTTTTAAATTGCCATGTAACATGAAGTAACAATAGATTTAATCTCATTTGTGATTGGAGGTGGGTTTATATCAGCAAGATGCTACAACATGTATAAATTAAACCCTGTTAAGAATCCTGTTAATTTATATCTGAATGACTTCTAGAACCAGTGAAATCCACAAACTAACTAGATGCTTGAGAGGTCATATTTCTAAGTTGACTGCACATTTTAATTTCACATAATCTTGTTCAGGTATTGTGAAAAACTAAGTTAAAAGCAGTATTTAATCAATTTTATTACACCCTGCATCATTTCATATGCCTAAAGTCAGGTCTCTTACTCAATGCTTACTAAGCAAAATACTAATATTTGCAGATTTTCATCATACTTAATGCCCTCCATAGTTGTAACCATTTTCAATGCCTTTTCTGACCTTTCCTCGTCTTTTCACATTGTTGTTTTTCCCCCCCAAAAGTTTTGAATGATGAGGATGGGGGGGGGGGGGGAGGCAGGGGGAGGTATCACATGCTACATCCTGATATCAGAATCGAGTTTTCTGAAAACACAACTTTCCTCCACCTTTGAGTCTGTATGGCCTGTGTCAATTTTGTCTCTCTTTTCTCTTTCCATTGGATTCTTCATCTCTTTCTGCATCACACTCTCACATTTATTTCTCCCTATCTCCTTAATGTCAACTCTTCAGCATGAAAGGAAATGTATTTCTTGCAGGCTCACAGTCTTCTTTCCTCTACCAGCCTCTGTATGAAGAGCATCTTTACAGTGCTTTCTGATCTAAAGAAATGTGCAACAAAAAGCATTGTAGATAGTTATACCCACTACAGGGACTAGTAGAAAAAGGAAGAAGCGACATACTCAAACGAATAGGCATCTGTGGTATGTTGAGGGACTTTCAATAAAGTCAGAGAAACCTTACAGACACAGTTGTGATGCTTAGGCACTAAGGAGTGAACTAAAGGCAGAGAGTTTCATTTTATATAGAGATAAAAAATTGAGTTTACATGAATGTTTTAAGAACAGCAGTTACTGTACCAATCTATTTTATACCAATTTAATTAAGAAGTACTAAGGAAGCCATGCATAAAATTTCTAGTTACCTGTGAGGGTCCTTTGAACTTGGTATAATATACACACATTCCCTCTTGGTGAAAGTGTTTTCTATCCAGGATTTCTGGGACTGTAAAAATAAGAGTTATACAAGAATTATTATATGATAAAATTATCATATAAATCACTGTCAATATTTTTTTAAAAAAAAGAAAACTGTATGATACAATAGCCAAAAGTAGGCATTAAAGAATTTATAATTCCCCATTTAAATATATTTCTATTTTTCATTGATGAAAGCATATATCTGCAGTATTGACAAGGACAAACAGTAAGGCCAAGATATTCAAAAGCAAGAGTGATTCTGAATGCCCATGTGAAGAGGTCCGATTTTCAATAAGAGCTTTCTCTCTGAAAATCAGGCCCCTTTAAAGTGCCTCATATTGGGCACCTAAAATTTGAAGCAACCAGAATCACTAGTCACTTTTTATGTATTAGGGGAGCTGTGTTAGTCTGTATCCACAAAAATAACAAGGAGTCCGGTGGCACCTTAACGACTAGTCACTTTTTAAAAGTCTAAATGTTTTAATTAACTACATTCTGAAGTTAGTTTTGCAACAATCAGTTACTTATTATAAAAAAAAAAGTGATGTAACAAAGAAGAAATATCCACTAGTGAAAAACAGATTACAACTACAGGTAATTTGGCCTAAATTATTGTCTGTTGCTAAAAGCTCTATCAAACTGCATTAACAAAACATCAAAAGATTATGAACTCTGTTATATTTTAATGGTTACATAAAAAGAATAGGTTATAATTTTTAAAATCAGGTAAGTGCACTTACAGCATTTTCATGAAACTCTTTACTGTATATTCCAGATTGCAAGAGTATTTTGCACTTAACGATAGCACGCATTTTAAATGACACACACAAAATATGCAAATTGAGATGCAAGAACATGCAAGCAAACATTCTGAAATAGTTCACTAAAGTGTGACCAAAATAGTTGCTATGTGGTATTTTGAAGTTACAAAATATTCACTATTTATTTCATGAAGCTAGTTGGAAATTTATCACTGTTTCACTTACGTTTTAACTATTCTATTATAAAGTTGTCAGTCATTGATAATGGCAATAAAATAGGATAACTCTAGTTCTTTGTCAAGTAGCAAATCCTACCTTTTATTCCCACTTTTGATAAACAATTTAATGAGCATCCTCAAGAGATATTCCAAATTGAGTTAAAAATGTGCTTGAAAATCTTAAATTAGACGTTGACTTCCTTAAATGTTTACCTATTTTAATTGCTAGCCAAGATTCTGTTTAGCTTGCTTTAAAACAGGGACATAACATTATCTTACAGATCCAAACTTTACTTTTGCCAAGTGTCTTGGATGATGCACAGTCAGCCTGTCATTTCAACTATTTGCTGGGAAGAGATTCAATTCAGTAGAATCTCAAGAAGTATATGCAGAAACAATATGCAACCTACGTTTCTTCTGTATTCTATGCAATATTATTATAAATCTTAATTAAATTAAGATGCTATTCTGATACTAAGTGAAATGCATTGGAAATATTAGTATCATGTCCAGTTTTGGTCTGCATCTATTGAAGTCAATATAAGAAAAAAAAGTTAACCATGCTTCCTTAGAAATGCTTTGTTAGGATGGAATGCTTTCTTCACTGGAAAAGGGGAGAAAATGGACCCTGAAGTATATTGCTGCTTTAGGATATCTACCTGAGTTCACTCAGAGTCTTTGCAGAATTTTTTTTTTTTTTGACTTCTGGAAATAGAGGCCAGGAATATAGATACTTAAATTAAGGATGGTTTAGCTTCATTGATCAAAATTCCAATTTACTAGGAATCATACAACTAGCAAGTTACTACAAACAGTACTGTACAAGTTAATTCTCATGACTCATCTACCACTTCTTGTCCACCTCTTTCAAAGCGACATCTAAAATTGTTTTCCCTGTATATCTTTCCTACTTCAGTCTTCACAAGCACAGAGTCTTTGTGTTGGCTGTATTTGATTGTGAGCTGGACTACACAGGGACTCTTTACTCTGTTAACTGCCATCCTCATTTTGGGCAATTTATAAATAGTTGGGCGGGGGGGGGGTTTCTAAAAAAAATGAAAAACTTTGTGATGTGATCCTATCAGCTTTTACAGATTAGACAGGGCTGGGCTGGTAAATGACTGAATGGGAGGCATCTAAGAAACAAATAGATCTGGGATACCCAACCTGTAAGGCATGCACACATCCCCAAAGGGGCACCAGGCTCCTCCAGAAGGCATTGGAAGCTGCAAGATTGCCACCATGGAACACATAAACCACTCTTCCTAATGGTGGCAGGGGAAGGGGGGAGGAAAGAATGTATTCCTTACAGCAGAAACAGGTAAAGACCAGTATGAAGTAAGGGAGGGAGCGAGAGAAGGGAATGGAGAAAGAACTAGGGGAAGTGAGATGGGAGGAATAGAAAAATAAGACAGTTGATGAGAACTGGGGAAAACAAACAGTGAAAAGAAAACAGTGGGAAAAAAAGGCAGAACTAGAACTGAGCAGAAGAAGTTAAAACCCAGAAGAGAGAGAGAGAAAACATTCAGAAGAGAGATATATATAAAGAAATGTGCAACCAGAAGCAGTGTAGATAGTTATGCCCTCTACAGGGATTAGCAGAAGGTATTGAACCAATGATCTTTCTTGGTTGGCCCTTCAATTCCTCCCCTTCACAACAGAGTTAATTCTACTCCAAGTGGGAAACGGTAAACGGCCTGCCAAGAAAGATCAGTAGTTTCCAACCTAGGTGCTGAAAATAAGTGGCATCTGAGATAAAGAAGCATAGTGCTGGGAACTCAGTGAATCTGCTGTCCCAGGAAAGGAAAGGGCAAGAGAAGCATACAGCTGTCTCTTAGCAGCAGATGCTAAACATTCATTCAGTTACCCTGTTTCCCCGAAAATAAGACAGTGTCTTATATTAATTTTTGCTCCCAAAGATGCGCTAGGTCTTATTTTCAGGGGATGTCTTATTTTTCAGAAATGAAAAATGTCTTATTATCGGTGGATGCCTTATTATCGGGGAGGTCTTATTATCGGGGGGATGCCTTATATTACAACGAGAGGCAAAACTGTAAGTAGGCCTTATTTTCGGAGGATGTCTTATTTTCGGGGAAACAGGGTAGCAGTGAACTTTATAGTGCTGCTATTCAAGAGACTATTAAACAAACTATGAAATCCAAAACAAGTGTTGCTTACAGTTTTTATTTAAATGAAATAAAATTACAAGTAATATTATGAAAAAGATATGCTAAGTCTTTACTGTGAATTTTATTTCATTTTCCTTTCACACTTGCAACTTTGTGAAATAAGACTGACCCATTGAAATAGCATGGAGAGTTAAACAATCTGAAGTTCTCAGACTAGGGAAATGCCCAAAGATTTACATGGGAAATACTCCTAGCAAGTATTAGTAGGACGAACCCTTCACTGACATACTGCACATTTTGCTCTACATTCACTTTTTTTCCTATTAAACTTTTCCAGATAAAGACCTCACATCTAGAGCCACCATATAAGATAAGATATACCTTGTGAAAGTAAAGACGTTTCAGCAGCACACAGATTCCTAATGCTCTAGTGGGCAAGATTGTTTTAATCTACTTCTTAACTCTCAGAGGATTATGCAATATACTGTATGTTTGCTGTGTACAAGGAATTTCAAGAATAGTGAAAAGACACAATGAGCCTTCATTATCAGTATAGAAATTATTAAAACTATACGAAAAGTCGAAGGTGAGCAGGGTCGACGCTGCAGTAGACCTGCCAGGGAGCCCTGCCCAATGAAAGGTATCCGACAGAGGTACTGGGACAGAGGGGGCCCAGCAGGAAGCTGGGACCCAGACTGTCGGGGAGCAGGCTGCAATGGGAACCCAGACCCTGAAGTTAGAGGGTCTGGAGGACGTTAGCCTATGTATGCGACTGGCGGCTGTGGAACATGCCCGCTGGATGGTGGAGGTGGAGCTGCAGAAATCCCACAAGGAGAAGGAAGACCTGGCCCTGAAGTAGAATGAAAGTGAAGAGAAGCGAGTGTGACTGGCGGGACATCTTCGGGTCACACAGGCTAGAGAACCGCCCTACCCCAGGCATGGGATTTTTGGGGGGAGGGAGGGTGGTGTAGCAGGGCGGTCACCCCGCTTCAGTTTGGAAGGAGTTAAAACCAGCTCTGGGAAAGGCCTACCCCGAGGAGCCAATCCGGCAAAGGCAGGTAGCAGCCAATCCAGACCCAGTAGGGCTGGTATAAAAAGGGCTGTGAGCTAAGAGGCAGGGAGTCTCACTCCAGCCTGGGGGGTGGGAAGAACCTGGTTGCCTGGGAGCACAGGGTACCTTCAACAGAGCAGTGCTCGGGAAGGGGCAGGCTTAGCTGGGGAGCTCAGACCTGGAGACCTCCCAGGCTGAGGCCTGACAGGAAGGCCTTAGGAGGTACTGGGGCTGCAGGAAAAGACAACAGGTCCAACGCCATAGCCAATGATGAGTGGCCACTTCAGACTGCAGTTTACCCCTTGTTTTATCTTCAGTGAAATCCATGATGGACACTACTAGCAGGTTTCTTTGCGGAACCAATCTTATAACAGTTAACTTTAATTTAAGGTGTTGAAGATAGCAGGTTACAACAAGAAACCACTGCCGAAGTGCAGTATGAAATCAGGTCTCAAAATTAAAAAAAAAAAAAAAAAGTACTTCATTTAACATAATATGGAACCTATCAATACTTTTATTTACCACATTATAACAGAGAGAAACATACTTTTGACAAACTCTATATCCTGCTTCATTGATAAAAAGCAATATTTCATCATGCCAACATGGAATTCTTCAGAATTAGTGAACAAACTGTCTGGACTACTTTCCACATAAAAAGCTTTCCTATTCCACAAGATCCCTTAACAAAAATTAGTATTAATAAGTAATCTGTATAAAATTTTTTACAATACAGCAAATTATATGTTTAATATGGCCATATATTTTAAGACTACCAAAAAAATTGTTTTTTGCTATTTGTTTACTAGTTTTCTGAAGTACACAGCAGGATTCTAGTTTATTCTGCTTTACTTTTCATTTACTAA